CAATAATTGCGTACGAAAAACGATTCTGATCAGAAACGCCAAAGCAGTCATCCTTTATTTCTAATGATATTCTATATAGCTATTATCTAGTTATTTATTTTTCTATTAGTAATTTGGTAGATTACACCAACGTTCTCTGAATACTTCGCATATTAAATTATATTATTATTCTTATCAACAAATAAGTCAATACCGATGTCCCTTATAATTATATGAATTATGAATATGTAACACGACAAAAATAGCCTAAAATCAGTTTTAATATTTTGTATGGATATAATAATACACAGTATAAATAATATCAAAATGTAATTATGACAAATATTTTTTGAAGAATAACAAAATGACTAAAATCATAAAAGAAAAATTGTTATTTTTCGTTTAAATATCCAATTTTTTCAAATACTCATCTTATAAATATATTAATAATATAATGAAAAGCTAATTTAAATATTTTTATTTTGGGATTAATTTACGTAGAATCCTTCTGCTGAGTAGCTAAGTAAAATATCGTTTTAAAGGATAAAGCAAAATAAATCGGTAACGAATGGCGTGTACCAAAGGAGGGGGATTTTTCGATGTATTCTTACTGAGGTGTTTCAGAGATTTTTTTTTTTTCAGACATTAAAATTTATTGAACGATTATTGTTAAAACCAAAATGTATAGATTTTATACAAATGAGTGTAGATTTTATTTCCATTGAAGAGGGTGCATAAAATATATATGCATGGGATGGTTAATTCCATGTATATTATGTCTTTGAACGTTAAAATAATGTTTTTGTACCGCTACCATTAACAAAATAATATGCATATAGGAACTCAATTTCGTGGAAATACCATCAAGAAACCTTTTTAATGGGCTACGTCACTACGGAATGCACCTAAAAAATTGTGATACAACAGGATATTTTGTAGTTTTTTAAACATATTATGCGTTAGTTATTAATATGTAGGATTTTAAATATAAATAGTATTAAATCAAACAATACTAATATCTATAGTAAATATAGTAAATATATTATACAATTAATATTTATTTAAAAATTAAATTATATTCACAAAACTAAAAGTGATAAAATAGAAATGTTCAAAAAATGAATTAACTGCATTTGTAGCAGTCAGATAATTTAAATAGTTCGTTTGTTTTAAACCAACAACAAATGTCGAAAATCTGAATTTTTTTTATAATCGATATAATATTAAAATAATAAAGTTACACATTTTTAAAACAATATAAAACATGAAAAATGACCAAATTTATGAATGTCTATTATGATAAAAGAGTATAATATTCGAATGCCATAGACGTTCAATGTCGTTTTTATCTCATAGTTGCTATGTAGCGACTAGCGAGTCATCGTTATCGCGTACCAGGGGGCGTCAGCAATAAATGTGTAAGCAATGGATTTGGAAGCCTTGGCTGAGATGTTTTGGCACAGCACCATATTTTATACCGTTTCGTGTTCAAATAAGATCTCAACTAAAGAATTTTATTTAGTATTGAATTAAAATTCGATAAATTCTTATGAATTCAAAATTAGGATTTATATTACATGCCTATATTTTACGATACGGAGCTGATAATTAGTGACTAGTGTCTTACATTTTTGTTGGGGCAGGTCATGCCCTCATGGTATGTGTATTTTAATCCAAACATGATGTCTATATATTTAATTTTTGTCATAATATCAGTCTATTTTTTGAAATTAGATTGAGGATTAGCCATTTGTTTAGCGTATGAATTAAGCACTTACATGTGACAATTTTTGAGGGTTTATTCTAATCCTCTGACTATTGGAACAGGTGCTCACTGGTTTTATTAAATTGTCTACTGATACTTGCAAAGTTTTTTTTTACAGTATTGCCGTGTCATTAGCAAAAGTGCCCATGTCCAGAAAATGTGTTCCATGCAAAGAAATATAGGTCAGGACTCAGGGAATCATATTTATTTTTATTCTTTTGCTATATACAATATAAAATAGAATGATAATAAACTATATTTTTCATCGAAATATTTTAGAAAAATGGTTAGTAAAACTCTATTATTTCTATTCGCTTATTTCCCTAGTTCCCTAAACGGTACAGTAGTGTACAATTGAATTCTGAATTTACAATTGTCCGGAAGGGGGGTGATGAGGGGATATCTATCAATGATTTACAAACCGAGACTTCGGAAAAAGCGTAGGTACTTGCCATCAATAACCTATATTTATGACACAAATTAAAAAAAATTAAGTTTCACATTTATTTTTCTGTTAAAATTCGATCTACATTTAATAACTAAGTGTATAATAGATAGCCTAACTAAAAGTATCATGTACTCGTCCAAGGATATTTATCATAATATATATACCACTTACATAGCTACAAACACATTATTAAATTAAATTGTAATATTATATACCAATAGCTGTGTTGTTGTATCTGTAATATCTATAATCATATTCTAAAATAAATGTTGATACCTATCAGATATTGTTAAACACACATGGATTTCTCGATGTTTCTCGATATTATAATAATTAACTGGTACCTAAGTAATCAAGGATACTTACTATATTATTTTATATTTGTAATCAACGGTTATACACTGTTAATTTAGTCACCTACTAGTTTTCACAACGTGTTTTACAGTACTGCGTATAAATACGCGATATCGTATCTATGGCAGTTTGAAATAAAGACGAAATACACTGCTATGGTAAAAGATAATGATACTTAAGTTGTATACGACAGATAAATAATTATTCATTGCGTCCCTGCCATTAGATTGTTAATATCGATTCCGGCGAAATATGAATTCACACATTTGTTAGATAAACTTTTGTTCCTTTTATTCCTTCATTTAGCGATGTAAGTCAAATTCGAATATTTACATATGTGCATGCACTTTATATTAAATTCATCAAACTTGGAAATATCTCAAAGTAATATTAAGTAATTTCGAGTTCAAAGTAATATTTTGTTATGTTAGCTTGAATTATTATAACAACAAACGGTATTGATTATTTCTTTAATATTTCTTTATGTTTTTAACATTTATTTTTTAAAATAATTGTGTTGATCAACATGTTAAGTGTATCTACGTCATAAATTATATGTTAAAAATATTAAAAATATAATAGAAATTATTTTGTGTTTGATGTAAAAATTTGTTATAATTTATTTAACTGGAAAAATGAAGTACTAAAATCATACCAACGTTTTATCATAATTATAATTTATAGATTTACAGAATAATAATTGATTTGGTTTTGCTAGAATTTGATAAAAGTACTTTTTCGATTATAAAGTGTGCAGAAAACCATTTATTTATGTAACGCAGTTCTGAACTCAGTTAAGCTGTTTGTAGATTAAATGGGCATAAAATTAATGTTATCGAGTTTATATTTTTGGAATTGGAAAATTATTATAATGAAAAAATAAATTTATATTTATTTCGAATAAAGAAAATTGTTTCCGACTAATTTATTTTATAAAAATCAATTGTTTATTGGTTCACCTAGTCAGATCAGGTAATTTAATTGATCCTTAAACATAACGCAGGTTAGTTGCATACTCAGAAAACATAATAATAATATTTTTTTTTTTTTTTTATTGATCCTGAGCCCGGCAACTGTGGCCATTAGCTATTAGTAGGTACTGTAGGTTTTTGTATTGATGGTTTGTAGGTTTTTTGGAACGGTAGGGGGAACACGTGTGTGTTTGTTTTGGCAGAATTTCGAATGGGGCACCCGTAGGTTTCTGCCATGCCCCGGGGGTGGGGGATGGCAGCACTTGCTCTCCGGTCACCGCGACTTGTCCGGAGAAAAATGCCGCCCGGTGGCCGAGGATCGAACCGCGACCGGCTGCGTCGCAGCGGAAGAGTCAGACCACTCGGTCACCTCGTCCCCCAATAATAATATTATATATATTATAAAATATAAATATCATAACACGGCGCTTTGAGTATGCAATTTTACAACTTATGTGATTATGACTTACAACGGACAAGGCAATATCCTATAGTCTTTTACAGTCAATAATTTATTAAATATATTCTGTGACATTACATTGTTTTTGTCCATGTTTTATTATCTAGATAGGTACTGATAGGTAACAATTTGTATAGCCACAATAGGTATTGATGCAGTAACAATTTTTTTTTTGTTATCGCAATCATGTAACCTAACCATGTATTATAGTGTAGTTGTTTAAGTTTTTTTTTTATATTTTTCCCAAAAATAAAAACAACCGGTTCATATACTCACAAAATAGAAAAATTTATATTTTTAAGTCGTTATAAATCATGTATTGTCGAAAATAAAAATTATTACTTTAAGCATACTTTTAGTTTTAACACCTATGTTATAGCCGTTTATTAATCTACAGTTTATACAATATTTTAGTATAATTGCTGTAGTAACATAATATGTGTTTATTTGATAAAAATAAGTAGAACTTAAACTTTATTTAGTAATACATCAAGGAGTTATTATTCCGTTTGAAAAATGGGTCTTTAGGCCGTACAATAATTGTATAATTTTACGTTATTGAGTAGATAGATTAATTAAATATCCACCACAGAAACTGTGAAGGAATAAAAGCTTATATATTTCTCGGAAGCAAAATAATTTCGTGTCTCGCATCACAATTGTATGGAGAAACGTTTCGTCAGTAAATAGTAATAATATGATGAAGAAACAATGAACCTTAATACGATGTTTAACACTATTCCAAAACCTTGATTTTGCATCATTTTGAGTCCTTTAAATTAATATAGTGGTGAGGAAAAGTTTACAGTTATATGCGAAATACAATATTTTTAGTTACATAGTACTTACTTTACTATACTATTATTTATTATTGCTTCTAATGCATATTATATTTTTGAAATTTTATATTTTTTTAGATAAACATTGCTGATTTTTCTATAAAACGTCCCAATCGAGTAAGTAAGTTTTTTTGATTTTGTATAAAATCGCTAAATTTTAAAGAGAAAGCTTATTTTTACTCACGTGTGACTGTATTAAGTTCAGTTTGTTGATGGAGTTGGGGATTTTTGACGGGGTTGTAAATGCATTTCCTGAAATGACTGATGGTGCGTTGGATGTATATTGGAACGAAGTGTCTTGAAGGCGATCCGAAATAATTGTGTCTTGACCGTCATTGGTCTTAAAAAAAAAAAGGAATAACATAAATATTAAAACAAACTTTTATATTATACTTAGTATTAAACTTTTTAGTATTTTTGATAGAACAATATTATTTTAAATATTTCATGTCAATAAAAAAAAATGTTTTCTAAGTGACAATTAATAAATTGCTATAGAGCCAAGACAAAGATCGTTGCAGTCTTAACTTTTAAGCCGCACATAAACTATAAGGTCGCTCTAACGAATAATACAATTTTAAACTAACTGTCTGATTTATTGATGTATTTATTCAACCACGTCATTTTCTTTTTAAATAATAATGAAATAATAAATAAAACGAAAATGAATATATTTTGGGTAATAAACAAAATCATACATTTGTCGATAAATTATCAAATTAAATACAAATAATACGACGAATTGTATACATTTTATTTTAATTTATACATATTTTATACATCATATTAGAAATGTTTACAGTATTTTGAACTCTTAATTATATAATATAAAAATAGTTTTATTTAAATTTGGATATTTTAATAATATTAGGTACAACACTGATGTAAAAATGAACTTGTCTTAATGTAAATGGATTGTCCGAATAAATTAATTCAATTAATGGTAATATAACAGATTTTGTCAAACTATTTTAATAACCTAGTTAAATATTTGGTGTATTATAAAATTGTATAGCAAACAATCAAAATTAATAATATCGGTACTTTATTCAATATATTTTTATGAAATAAGTTTGGTACATACTATACACCTCTATTGGTATTCTAAGTATGTCGAAGATATCCTTCAAAATAAATTATACTGAATTCGGGAAACTAAGTTACGTCATGTGCTATTTGTTCACAGAAAAAGCGAATACCTAAATAAAGTTACTGAACAAATAATTTGAATAAATGTCTTAACTTTCCTCTCATGCTTATTTAACTCTAAAGAGTATTAAATATTAGAGAATATTTGTTAAAAAACATATTCGTATAATATACGTACAATAAATACTGTTTATTCTGGAAAAGTCTTAATCAAAATTCTTGAATATTATAAACATACACAAAATGTTGTCCAATCTACATACATTTTACATAAATCGTGAGTCTTAAAATTATACAACAATTTGATGGCTATCACAGTTGTACTATCGTAGATATCACAAGCCTTCAAGTAAATAGCTATATATAGTTGAATAATCGTTGGACACGAAATATTATATATTATGTTACGACGTAATGTCCACGTAGAAAACGCGATTATATGTGGTTCGTTTGTGTTCTGTTTCCAATGAGCAAGTATTATATTAAATTTAATATTATTTTCCGCCTTCATCGCTGCTGGCAGCTATTAATTTCGAGTAGTGGCAGATTTCTTTTGGGTTTATTGTATTTGTTCGATAGCGTGGAAAAATTAATACGACTGGGAACGATAAGAGGTGGCTGTGGCAACGTCCCATCCTAAAACTTTCGGTGGAGGACAGGGCCACCGTTCACTATTATTTGAAATAGTGCGATAGACAAGAATCAAGGGCTATTGAAACCCTAACGACGTTACCTATTAAAATTAATAAAATTTGACAAGATCTACAGTTCATAAAATATTAGACTGTCGGTGTAAACATTTTATTGGTTAAAATTTATTTCAATTAAAAAAAATCCCAAAACTCGAAGATAAAAACAATATATTAAAAAAAGTAGTTTGTTTTAATTTTTTACTATAAAATAAAAAAATAATGATATTAACAATTGATAACAATTTTTATACCTACACTATAATATTTATGTATCGAGTAATCATTTTTGAACACAATGAAACACGATGATTATGTAACATTTGTATTTGCAATAAAATATTATAAAAATAAATGTCTACAGTTCGAGCAGTGCAAGTGGTTTTTTCGCATCATCGGTATTTACCAAAGGTATTGCATTTTTGACCTATGAATATGTTTAATCTATAATTGCTTATGATATTTGCTTATGATTCAAAGTAAATTACAAAAAAAATATCAGATTAAATCATAAAATAGGTCAAAAATATATTGGTAACCAAATTCTGTGTATGTAACGTGTAATATATTATGCCTCAATACGTGGTTTAATCTCTGCATAGTAATATCATTAACGGTCATATACCTAAATTATACACTACCCATATTGTGAAATGGAATTAATGATAATTTGGAATCTAAAATTGAAATAAATAATCTAAACTAGAGAACAAGTCCTTCCGTCGTCCACAATTAATTTATTGATAATAAACAATCATAAAACTTTTTTAAATTAAATTAATCATACTTTTTATAATACTATTACTTACTAACTATTATTAAGTAGTCAAATATGATTAAGTTCGATGTCACTGTAAATATATTAATATCATTAGAAATTCTCTATTCAAGAGCAAAAAAATAAAAATGCCATTAGTCGCTCAAATTCAAAAAATGTTCAGCTATTTTTATATACTTAACAGGGGACAGTGTACGTAAGGTATCTTGAATAGCTCGGGAGCCATAAAAGTTATCAGACCACCGCCAAAGTATACAAAATGATTAGGTTATAGGTTTGTTAACGTATAAATAAAGTGACACTTGCTGGATTTCCGTAATAAATGCCTGATGAATGTGATGCTATTATATTGGTATTTAATATATGAATAGTGGCTTGATGAGGCTTGGTCGTACTCTTAATCTTCGGCAACTCTCTGAGCTTAGCAACAGGCCATCGTTGCTACAATTCGGATGGGTGACTACCCGAGTTTTCGGCAACACATCCTTGCCAAACATCCAAATAAGTATTTCAAATCAACTATTCCCCCTACAAACAGCTAACGGCAATCATTGGTGAGCTTTAAATCATTTAAAAAAAAAAAAACATGAATAATTGTCAATAACGATATATTATAATAATATTATCATTGTACGGAATAAGTAACTGATACACTATCAGCGAAAAATATAATATCTCCTTTGCATTCACCGCTATCGTCATATCCGTCGACGATGATATACTGCCCGAAATAAGGGTGTAATATTATATAATATTACCTAAGTACTTAAACGATTTCGAGTCGTAAATTAATTATACAGGATGAGCTACGTGAAAAGTGTCGGCGGTGACGGTGGCGGCAGATGAGGTGCATTATAGTATTATATACGCTCACGGCAATATGTTATGAGCACCCCGTCGGAGTGACAACAAACGTATCGTTTCGATTAATTCCCGTAAAACCGATGTGCGACCACCACACAGCCGCCACCATGCCAGAGCCGTGTGCGAGGGATGTTTGATTTATCGGTAGGCATCCTGCAGGATTATCCTGCCAGTAGACCGTACAGTGACGCGTCCTGCGCGTACCACTGGCGTTCTTTCGGGGGCTTTGCCGCTCCGCGTCACCGCCGCCGCCGTCCCTGCACTGTCCTGCGTCCTGAATAAAATAATATCGTCCTTGTCTGGACGGCGGCCAAACCGCTGCAGCGAACGTTTAAGGGATTAACAGCCAGAGAAAAACCGATGCGGACCTGAAGTCGACGGAATGGATGTAATCGCCTGCTCGCCAACCGTACCGCCGCCGCGGCGTTCGTTGCCCATAAACGGTGTCCGTTGTATACCTCAGCGATTCGATTATTTTGAAATCGTCTGTTATTGTATCCATTACAGGTTATTGCGTATACCGTTGGTCGGACCGACCAAATTCGATTCGACAACAAAATATACGTTTACTGTTTACCTATACATTCGCTGCGTTTAAAACAACTGCTGTAGGTATACGTACAGCGGATTTTTATCGTTTACAATTCGAGTGTTGTGTACAATATATTGTGTACCTTTATACTCATATTCAGTTAAACAATAGTTGTTATTGTTTAAGACATTTAAAAGTAATTTTTTATAAATCAAACAACGATACAATTCGATGTGGGCAGATAACTTTAAGACACATCGACAGGTAAGATTTTTTATTATTCTACTTGGTAATGAGCATAGTAATTGTTTTTGTGCACTCACGACCATCATAATATTATATATTCAATAAAGATCGCCATACTCAGGCGCAAACCTTGATGAGCCGTGTCAAAATATTGGTACCGTCTGCATAATATACGGAGTATCCAAATCGGTTCCAAAAAGTTTAAATTTGTTCCCTGGTCGTCACAAAGGGTACATGTATAGACACATCCGAATTGTTTCCTAGATTTTAAAAGTATTTTATAGATTTAGTAGGTACTTACATGGTTCAACATGTTCGTACATATTTTGTATTCTAATTTTAATTCTATTTTTTATAATATGTACTATTTGTATATTATTCTTTACAGCACATGCTTAGAGGCAATCAAACCATGTTTGAGTGGGAAGGCTCACTCAAAAATCTTTATTTTACCGAATACCCATTAAACTTGCAGTCTTTGACCGTCAATTTGTTTCAGCTGCTCACAAATTTGTATCGTGTGTAAACTTTTAATTCTTTTTTTACATCAAATTACTCTTTCGAGTTTTAAAAGAATGCCATTGGATTAAATTAAAAAGTTAAAGTTTACACTCGTCAAATGTTTTTATGATGCTACAATCATATTGTGTGATCATGTGTAGGTATCACTGTAAAAATTATTGCGTGAGCAACAAATTGACGGTCACAAAAGGCTATGTAATATCCCTGTATTGTTTGTATGTCATGGTAAAATAAAGATATTCAAAAGCGGAATTCTCACTCTAACATGGTGTGATTACCACGGTGAAGAATGAAAACATGCTGTGAAAATACAAGACGTATATACTACTATTATTAATGAGCACAGTACACCATGACAATCGTTTCTGAAACAGTCTCAAACTCGAGAGCCACGTTATTGTTAATCTTGTTTCGCTGTTTATATCGTTGCAAAAACATCGCGTACCTACATTTATTTGTTTATACTTCTATTTTTGCGTACCCCGTATGTGTATACGTAGAATAAAATTGTCTCTAAATAAAACGTGTCTTATAATATAATAACAACTATTATCACTATC